GGAGGCTGGTGCTAAATCAGAAATGGCACATGGGTTTCAGATTCTTTCCAGTTCTGACTTATTGGGGTGGCTCCACAGCCTAAAGATTGTATTGATAAAGAACTCAAGACCACACCTGGGTTCAGGGGGAGCCAAGATTGATTAGTGATGTCTATTCTGGGCATGGATTGGGGAATGTTTACCTACCTGTCAAACATTTATGATCTCTGTACTAGTATTACTCTGGTTGTTGCTTTGTGTTCAGATGCTGGAAAGCTATGTACTACCTGCGGAAGGTTGAAAGGTCTTGGCCTATAGTCAGCCCTTCAAGAAATAAACCTGGGAAACACTCCTCTGTGCCTGATCCTCTGTTATGGCTGGTCCCAGGGACAATACCTTGGCTTGGCTTTTAAGAGTCTTGGCCCAAACCTTGGAGTTGACATTTCATTCAGACCTTCTTATTCTAAGCTTTGTCTTTGACTCTGGAAAGTATCTTTCTGATTTCCTGGCTCCTTGATCTCCAGACCTCTCATTTGCTTGGGAAGAGAATTAACTTATTCCCAAGGGCTCTGAAAGTAGAAATCAAGGGAAGATACACAGGATGTCTTCTGTGTGTTGGGGAAAAAATTGCTTAGGCAATTTTAAGAAGCATGCTTGGTTTCCACCACTTGTTTAAAAACTTTGGAGTTCTATTTCCCATTCTAGCCCCATGAACCAGTTGGAAAGGGCACACAGGAAATATGTTTTTAAAACAAATTCCTCTGGGAATTATTATAGACACAGTTTTGACAACCATTGAGTTAAGGGCCCTGAGCAACTTCAGTAGCCCTAATTCTGTTATTCAGTGAAATAATTCTTCCAGTTAAACCAAATAACCCTATTATTTAAGTGTTGAAATTCACCAGGGTTCTGTTCTGATATATGCAGAAGAGTGGCTTGTGGGAGCCACTGTAGAAGATACAGTTCTTCCTTAAAGCCACTACTCTTATCCCAGCAAATTTTTCTCTGAGCAGCAGATGCCTCAGTCTTTTCCTTTCCTGTCTTCTCACCACTCACCACCCTGTTATCCAAACGAACATGTGCACAGAGACAACCTCTGAGACCATGATCACATTTCTTGTATAATACAGTCCACACTGCCTTTGCAGAGCCAGGTTGTGCAGAGCTTGTCCATGTATGATAAATGATATATTGGCTTACCTAGAAAGTTCTCCAGACAATAACTGGCTAAAAACACTCTGAATAAACAGAGTATCTATAGGGTTTCTCAGATTTTGGCAGCATAGCCTATATTTGCTCTACCTGAAGTGTGCTTCTTATCCAGGTTGCATGCAAAACTCTCCATGTAGCTACATCCACAAGCCAACCCTTTGTTTTTCAAAGAAAATTAATCTAGTCTTCCAACAGACAGTGCCACTATATGACAGTGGGATGTTACCACAGATCACTAAACCAGCAAGCTCCTACTGTGCTACTGCTCTACCATTGGCAATATTTCCCTGAATCATTACAGTCACCTAAATATAAATTTTAAAACCAGGAATTGTTCTCTTATGGCTTAAGCTTTCCTCTTCCCTACCTGGCCATCTTGCAAGATCCTCACTCCAGAACTCACAGGGTTAGCAATGATAAAATGAGATACCATTTTCCTTAACAAGAACAAAGATAAACTTTGTGGAGGATGATGTTTTACAAGAAATAGTGAACATTCCTCTCATACTTGATACTGTGCCAATAAACTCAACTGATGAGAGATTTCATAAAGATATCCACAATCAAAATAAATTTTCTGAATTCACTGCATAATTGTATTTTTTCCTATCACAATGCAATTTTTTCATTTGAAACACTTAAACTGTTAAACCTAAACAAAGATGGAAAGGTTATAATTCTGTAAGTTGCTAGCTTGCTCGAGTGCCTTTTGCTGTGACCTCTTTGTTGCATTTGTCAACTTGTCACTTTCCAAAACTTAAACTCCATGGTTTACATACATTAAATCGTTTTAATTGCTCACTCATGCTTCTCTAGTCATATGCCTATTATTAAGATATGTGCATTTTCATATAACAATTCACCGTTCCCATTTGGTAATTCACTACTTTGTGCCAATCAACCATGTAAAACATTGTGGCCCACTGAGGGTATTCAAAGATGAATATGCATCTTCTAAACTCTGGGATTAAAAACCACACTGCTTCAAGAGAGATTAATTTTCCCTGTAGTCAAGTACTTCCAGCATGTCTTCTAGAACAACTAGAATCAGTGAATTCAACCCCTAAAACTTTGTATCATCTTCAGAAATGACAAATGAAAGGGTAGAGGCATATAAGCAGGAACCCCTCAAAATAGAATTATTTTCTGGAGGGTCAACCTCTTGTAGGCTTTCCCCCATTAGATGAGTGTTCTAGAAACCCATCTGTATCAGTGGACCAGCTGGCATTGTTGTGAGAGTCCACGTTCGGCTTCAGTGAATTTTTTGGACTCTTTCAATGCATTTGCACATTTCATAATGGGTGATTTATGAGCACACCTGCCTATACCATGCTGAGTGTTCAGCAGTTTTTGACCAATAATGGCATGACTCCCATGCCCCACTTGATCTCACTCAGAGAGATCTTCTTTTTGTTGTTTTTTTTGCATGATAATTTCCTCAAAGGGAAATGCTTTGCTGAAGTGGAAGAGGTGAAACAAAAAATGGCAGAAGCACTAAAAGGCATCAAAATCCCAGCAATGAGTTCAAAAACTGTTTTGAACTCATAGCTCAGTGGATTGGCTGGCATAACTCAGTGGATTGAGTGTGGGCCTGTGAACCAAAGGGTCACACGCCTGGGTGGCAAGCCAGGTCACTAGTTGGGGGCACCCAAGAGGCAACTACACAGTGATCTTTCCCTGCTTCTATTTCTCCCTCCCTTCCCCTCTCTCTAAAATAAATAAATAAGACTTTCTAAAAAAAACTATTTTGAGCAGTGGAAAAAAGTCTCAATAGGTTTATCACATGAAATGGAGAGTACTTTGAAGATAACTGCAGTTTAAACATGTAAAAATAAATACACAATTTTTATAAAGAAATTCCATTTTGGGGGCCCTCTCATATTGTCAAATATGCACTATAAAATATCTCATCTATAAAACTAAAACTATACAACTCAAGTCACTCCTCCATTTTATATTCTTTAAGAATACATTTATAAGAAAGGCCTTAATGTTTTTTAATCTGTTGCATGGGGAGTTGTGTTCATTTCAATAGAAAATGATCGTTATCTCCATAGGTTTTAAAAATGTACACTAAGCCCCATAAAAAGTCCAGTGCTTACAGATTACCAGCATACATCTAGAGAAAATTTTCTCCTCTCTCTATTGCATTTGACCACCCTGACTCATGTTTTACTATCTCCTTGGCTTAGAGATAGATAGAAGCAATAAAGTAAAATTCAAGTTGGTTTCACAGACAGTAAATATGCATTATGAATTTGAAACACATGGTTAGAAACATACTATGCTCACTGAGCATATATTTTAGAAGAACTTCCTTCAAGACTATGACTAAAACCATAATCTGGAAACCATTTACTGCCTTTGGATTTAGAATTCTGTGTAGTTTCATAAGATATTCACTTAAAAATATAGTCTAAACTTACAGATTTTGAATCAAACAATAAAGGTAAAAGAAACTTTTAGTTAGAAAACCAGAAAAATGCCATTGATTATTTAAATGATTAAAAAGAGAACAGAAATAACAATAAGAAATCAGATTCAAGCTAAGAGATTAGTAAATCTGTGGACAATCCTACTTCAATCCTTGCTTTTCCCATTCAGGGAACTAAGTCCCTCAGTGTTTCAGAGACTTCTCTAGAGTAACATGGAATCAGACTAGACCCCCGAGATCCTAATTTGTAATCAAACTATATCTATTCTTCCTCCCATAGAGTGCTCCAGTTTAGATTCCAGGTCTCAGTTCTGGCTTCAGCTACATCGACATGTCACAGCTGCCTTTGTGGAGTGAAGGACACCAGATCTTGTTAAGATCAATGTGCTAAAATCAATATATTAAGATTGCTAAATTTGCATATACACAAATCTGCAGCCAGATGGAGTTAAATGAGGATGAATCACATCTGAAATCTTCTCTTAGTGCTGCCACATTTGCATGCATGCCAAACCTACAGCTCGACCATATTAATTGCACTAAGAATCAACCTACTAGAGCTGCCTAGTTTAAAAATTCATAAAAACTTATATGTAGGGATCATGTGCAGTAACCATATTTAAGACCAACATATTAGGACCCACTAACTTTGAAAACTTTGAATTTCACAGCTTGATAACACTTGCTCTACTGTGTGTGTGTGTGTGTGTGTGTGTGTGTGTGTGTGTGTGTGTGTGTACTGTTCTCCTTATGCTGGAAAGCTGAGTCTCTGGTATTATTCTGAATTACTTGATGTGATTAATGTACCTACCAATGCATTTCTCAGAATGTACCTCCATAGTTAAGAGGCACATAACTATATTTATAAATACACACATTCAGGTAATTGGGAGCCTCTAATATTTTGTATAGCTCTCATACTAGATCCAGTCCATAGTGGAAACCTAAACAGACAGTAAGAAGAGAGAAGAGAACTAGAACTGGTCATTCACACACTGGAGGAAAAGGGGACTGTGGCCTTCTTATTCTGTACCAAAAAAAATATATGAGTAGAGAGAGTGGAGAATTAATTAATAGGAAGGTTTAATGTAGATAGATTAGATAATTTCATTCTGTATAATCTCTTGCTACATGAATAATTTTATAGTAACTCAAAAAGGCTACCTCTTGTTGGTTCCAGCAGGATAAATGTGGCAAAGTTCACTGTAGATTTAGACTTTTGTATAATAGCATGAATGTCTATTTTGGATTTCTCTATTTTGGGGAATACCATATAGCATATATAAAACCACTCACTCTATACAATTACTTTGATTCAACATTTACAAAAATGAACACATTTGAAATGCATGGTGTGGTGAGCATTTTCACTTACCTTTTCCGCTGACTGAGCAGTGCCAAAAAAAATTGGAATGAAGGCAAGCCATACTATACATGTTGTGTACATAGTGAATCCAATGGGCTTGGCTTCATTAAAATTCTCTGGGACACCCCGAGTCTTGATGGCATACACAGTACATGTGACCATGAGAAGAATGCTATATCCCAAGGAGCAAATGATTTGGAGGTCTGTAATGTCACATTTGAGAACTCCCCTGGCCTGGTCAGGGTTCATTGTCTTATGTTCATCATAGTCTACGATGATGTTGGGTGGATCAACACCAAACCAAATGAAAACACCTAGAAGCTGCACTGATATTAAACTTGAAGTGATTGCCAGCTGTGATGTTGGGCTTATGAGTCTGGGAGCTGTCACTGATTTCTTGCCCTGCTCAAATATGCGATAAATCCGATTGGTTTTTGTCAAGAGGGCTGCGTAACTGATGCACATCCCCAAGCCCAAGAAAACTCTCCGGAAAGAACACACTGCCACATCGGGCTTGGCTATCATCAGGAAAGTGATGATGTAGCAAAGAAAGATGCCCGTCAGCAGAACATAGCTGAGCTCTCGCCCAGATGCCCGGACTATGGGCGTGTCATTGTAGCGGATGAAAGTAGCCATGACGAAGATGGTGGCGATGATCCCCAGCATTGCTAAGAAGACAGGGATGATGGCCCAGGGAGAATGCCACTCCAGTTTGATGATGGGGATATCCTGACAGCCAGTCCGGTTTTCATTGGGCCGCTGGTCATAAGGGCAATGCTGGCATGTCATCTCATCAAACTGGTACTGGTAGCCATCGCAAGGTTCACAGGTCCAGCAGCAAGGAGTTCCCTTTTGTGTCTTCTTTCTCTGTCCTGGTTTGCATGGCAGGGTACATACTGAGTGGGGTATTTCCCGGACTCCTTTACCCCATTGCATGTCCTCGATCTGTAGTGTAAGAAATACAAAGGTGCAACAGGCACATTATTGAATAGAAAAGACTAATAGCAATAAATAGTAATAATACAAGTATTTGACACTTGGTAAGAGCATGTAACTTAGCCCAGCTAGTAGGAACTACAACCAAGATCTGACTCCCTACCATTTCATTGCAACATCTTTACTATTCTCTGTTAATAGACTATGTCCCAAACATTCTTAATTCTAAGAATTTCCTGTGGAAACTCTTAAAAATACAAATTTGTTGTCCCTACCCTACACCTTCCAAATAACAATATCCTGAAAAAAAGTCTTTGGACCTTTATTTTTAATAAGCACCCAGAAGATTCTTATGATTAGATAAACTGAGAAATATTGAATTGCTCTCTACTGCCTTCTCCAGGATGAGTACAAATCAAGTTTTAAAAAACCCCCACAAAACTCTTAAGTATTGGGTTGGCCAAAAAAAATTTAGTTTTTTTTTCTGTATGATGGGTCTACTAGTGCTGAGTTAGTTGCCTTCAACTTCATTCTAAACAACTTTGTTAGGCTGTGTTGACAGCTGCCATATCCACATGCATTTAAAAACAGACATCAAAATTGGTGAATTTTTGTGCAGCCATTTTAATATTGAAGATGGAAGAAGATAAGTGACATTTTTGGTGCATTATTATGCTTTATTATTTCAAGAAAGGTAAAAAACACAATTGGTATGCAAAAAAAAAAAGAATTAGTGCAGTGTTTGGAGAGGGTGCCTTGACTGATAGAATGTATCAAAGTGGTTTGCAAAGTTTCTTGGCATTATTGACATTTTAGTCAATTTATTCTTTGCTCTGGGGCTGTCTTATGCACTGGGAGATGTTTAGTAGATCCTCTGGCCTCTACCCACTAGAAGCCGATAGTAGTAGACAGCTGACATACTCAAAATATCCAAATTAATGAAGTTATTGGTGAAAATGAAAAATGTGACTTTTATTTTCAGAAACCTGAGGCTTTTTGTCCAGCCCCAAAATATTAAAAAAAAAGTACATTCATCTCTCTTATTAGGTACTTAAAAAAGGGTTTAAAAATTATTTTGGAGGATTTTCAGTGCTGACCACCATTCCTAAATACTGTAGGTATTACTGCCATTTCCACTGAGAAATTTTGAAGCAAAGTGAAACTTTCCTATTATTAATCACACAGTAATGAAAATGCTCCATTTTGAAGGCTTTAAATCTAGCAAAGTATATCCTAAGAGATCAGAAGGATTTGCTAAAAAAATAATATGGCCTGGAAACCTTTCAAGACTGGACATGTACCTATTTGGAGGTGAAAACTGATCTAAAACACTATAATTTAGAGGAAGACGGACATGTATTTGTTTAACTACAATACTGATTTTGTGAAAGAAAATTGATAATCAAAAGTGTTCTGAGAAAAAACAGACTAGTATTGGGCTGAAATCTCAGTGTTGTGGATACTGCTTGCTTTTCCCAGCACAGCAGCTACTCTTCCACTTTCCTGAAATCAGTTCCTCAGATCTCTTTTCTGTGTATTTTCTGTTAAATGAAAGTTACACTGAAGCTCTGGGGCCTGCACACATGACACAAGCTTGGTCACGTGTCAGTTAGTGTACTGCAGTGTTTCTCAAGCCTGAGTGCACAGCAGAGTCAAGTGGAGGACTTGTTACAACTAGTAACAGCATGTGCTGACCCTAATTTTCAGATTCATTGGGTATAGGATGAAATCTGAGAATATATATTTCTAAAAAAATCTAGATGGCATTGCTGGGGATTCTCTGGGGAGTACACTTCATCAACCACTGACACATCCTCTTCTTAGCCACAAAGACTTGGTTAGGGATGAGATTATGTTGAAATGGCACATAATTTAATTTCATGTTTTTTACTGAGATTACACAGATAAAATAATCTGTTTCTGTTGGACTTGCAGTTTCTAGAATGTAATGATCCTGGTGCTTATTTATAGCTACAAGAAGAGAGAAGTTTGTCAGAAAAGAAAGGGAACACAAAGGAAAATAATGTGGAGAGTTGAAGACAAAGATCACTCTTGAGCCTGTTTGAGCTACTGGATATAGCTATTCCTGAAGCAGGAATTCCCAAGGTTGTGCCATTATGTAAGCCAGTAAATTCTGCTATGCTGAAACACTCAAATTGCATTTCTATCACTTATAACCAAGAGTCCTGAAATATATGTACTAAGTAAAAAGTTCCAGGATCTACGAGTTGCACAAGGTATACTTAGCAAATTAACTAAAGAAGAAATCAAATTCCATAAAGAAATTTGGTTGATATTCCCTGTGCCTAGTTATTTTAATTTTTAATGTAGTTGAATTTAGATACAAGTTAGAAAGATATATAAATTAGTTTAGAAAGATAGTAGAAAATCTGACTTTTCTAAAAATGATTTTTTTACATCTGAGTTCTCCTTTTTAATTAAATTTATTGGGGTGACATTGGTTAATAAGATCATATAAGTTTCAAGTGTACATTTTCTATGACACATGATCTGTATATTGCATTGTGTGCCCACTACCTAAAGCCAAATCATCTTCTGTCACCATATATTTGCTTTGTTAAAACAGGATATGCTAGTAGGGTGTGATACTTCCATCAAAATTTGAATGAGAACTGCATTCAAAATCTGAATGAAAATAGTTAACTCTGAAAAAAATGGCTCAAGAATTTAACTTCATAAAATATCATGACGTTCCAATGGTTGAATTTAAACTCTAACCAGAAACCTGAGAATCTTCAGATGACTTGCGTGAATTTATTTGCCTGATTACAAAACTCAAGTCAGCACTAATACATTTAACTAAGTATAAATAAAATAAATCTACCTAAATGTAAAACATCATCACTTTTTTTTCTTGATGTCATCATTTTGGTGGCAGTAAGTCACTGGCAGTCATCCCAAAGTTATAAAATTAAGAAAACAATTTGCAATAAAAAAGAAAAAGATATGTATTAATAAATTTCAAATTTTAAGAAGTTGGAATCTAAAAAAATTACTGTTATTAATAGATGTTTTCAAATGTCATATTAAAAGGTCCTTCTCATGGTTAGTAAGACACTTAAAAACTATAGGTAAATTTTATTAGCTAAACTTGAGGTTGCATATTCCAACATTAGTGGATACTAATATGCCATGATTAAATCTGACCTATGGAAATAGATGTAGGGCTCATATATATAAGAAACAAATTATCATTATATAGACTTCTGATTAAGACAGTGGCATAGGTAAACACAGCTTACCTCCTTGTACAAACATGTCCTAATTACAACTAATTATAGAACAACCATCACTCAGAACTGGCAGAAATCAAGTTGAATGGAAGGTCTAATAACTATGGAATTAAAGAAACCACATCCATCCAGTCAGGAGATGTGGAACAGGCTGGTCCCATATCCAGGTGTGGTGGATAAAAATTTGGGAGGGATATCTTGGTAGCAAGGAGTCCCAGTCCCACACCAGAACCCCCAGCCCAGGGTACTAGTGCCAGGAAGATAAGTCCCTATAATTTCTGGCTGCAAAAATAAGAAGGGATTGAGTTGTGGGAGAAATCTCTGGAGTCCTAAGCAGTTCCTCTTAAAGAACCAACATACAAACTTACTCAGACTCACTCCCTCTGAGCATCAGCACTGGGGTGGTAGCTTGAAAGGCACTGGTGGTATACAAGGAGGAACTGAAGTGGCTGGGATCAAGGTGAGAACTGAGGAACAGCTTTCTCCCAGACAGAAAGGCAAGCAGAGCCACAGACCTGGCAGATGGGTACCATATCTGAGACTCCATCAATCTGGCTAACACTGTTTGTTCCTCCCTGGAGATTCCCTGAGGCTCTGTCCCACACAACAAACAGCTGTTAACAGTAGCTTTTCCAAACAAATGGCTGGTCTTGGCTCATGCTTCACAACTTCCAAAATACCCCATAGTCCTTCCCCATGTGCCTCTTGCTAAGTGGCTCCAGGCACAGCACTGGCAGCAGTCAGTCAAGGTTCACAGCTTGGCTTCACCTGGGAATCTCTAAGCCAGCACAAGTAATAGTCATCTCAGATTGCTCTATAGCTCAGATAGGGCGGTCCTGGGAAAAATACAGGTGGGGAATACCTTGGCTTGCACCACATGGGAAAACCCAGATTCTGCACACCCAGTAGACAGCTAAAGACCATGTTGGAGCGTAGCCACCCTGCTTCTGCATAGCTGATCCTCCATGGAAAGCAGAGGTTAGTGGCTAATGATCATAGCTAATCTTTGCAACTGACTGGCCTGGGTAAATCCCTCCCAGGGGGTGGGAAGGATTTGGCATTGACTTGCCAAAAGCAGGCAAAGTTAAACTACAAGAGAAGGTATACTCAGCTTGTATGGATGATGCACCTGAAGTGCCCAGCTTAGGTGGTAGAGGAGGCTGTGCCACTGGATCCTACAGGACACCTACTACATAGATCATGATACCAAGACAGAGAATCATGGCAACTCTACATAATACACGGAAAAAAACACAGGGAGGCTGCCAAAATGAAGAGACAAAGAAATATGGCTCAAATGAAAGAACAGATCAAAACTCCAGAAAAAGAACTAAAAAAATGAGATAAGCAATCTATCAGATTGCTTTTGAGCATTTTGAGTATCTATCAGATGTAGAGTTCAAAACACTGGTTATAAGGATGATCAAGTAACTTAGTGAGGATCTCAACAACATGAAAAGATCCAGTCAGAAATGAAGATTAACTAATGGAAAAAAAGAATAATTTATCGGGAAACAACAGTAGAGTGAATAAAACTGAAGATCAAATAAAATATTGGGAATGTAAGGAAGCAAAAACAACCAATCAGAACAACAAGAAGAAAAAAGATTACAAAAAAAACAAGGACATATACGCAACCTCCGGGACAACTTCATGCATTCCAACATTCACATCATAGGGGTGCCAGAAGCAGAAGAGAAGGAACAAGAAATTGGAAATCTACCTGAAAAAATAATGAAAGAAAACTTTTCTAAT